AATCTGACTGAAAATAAAAATGAAAACTTTTTAAAAACCCGTGTCCCTTTCATTTTAAACGTACATTACATTTATCCCGCAGATAAATGAATATACATAAAATAACAGCTATGAGACATACACATACTTGCCGGCTGTATACACATGACAAACACTCTCGGCCTCCCTCCCCTGCACACTCTCCCCTGCCTCCAGACACTCTGAGCCTGCAGACTCACGTACGACCTTCCCGACGCGCCAGCCTCCGGAAGTTTCCAAATAACGTCACCACAAGTGCAAACGGTTTGAAGCCTCCGCACAAATTACGTCCAGAAAGTTTCATTAGATGACGATTTTCTGCCTACCAACTGTCAGGAAGGTACAACACATCACCACACATTAGTTCATCACCCACATACACATACACATACACACTGCCTCTCCTTCTCCACATGTGGTCATTGAAACAGGAAACGCGCGAGAAAATACAACCCCGCCAACAAGATGTGGGAAGATTTCGTCGCCGGCGCCTCAAGGAAGCAAGAGTCACACTCTGACACTGAAACTCTTGTAAGACAACGAACGCCCTCGCTTATGTCTATATATCACAGGTTTCTATGTTACCCACAATCAAACGAAGAAGGCATTGGAAACTTCCACTCCAATAAATTCCACGCTATATCGCCTACACACCACAAACAAGTCGACGAGTGAATGGTAGTCCTCACCGGTCTTTACAGTGACTCATCCTCCGCTGCTGGTCGTTGACTCTTTGTGATGCGTATGGGCTTAGGTCTGAGTTTATGGCGTGCTTGCGTGCAGTGTGGACGCACCTTGGGGGGGGATTAGATATAATGAACACACAAATAAATGAATAAATGAAAAGGTTAAATAAGGGTTTCTGAGCAAAAGCGAAATGCGCAAATGATTAAGGAGAGAAACTTGGATGAAATGTGCGCTATTAAATAGCATGCACTGTAGTTATAAAGAAACTGCAAAAGCGAAAGGAATCTTCTGGAAACTCGGATGTCTTTCCAGGTAGGGTAAAAGGGTTTCTGAGCAAAAGCGAAATGCGCAAATGATTAAGGAGAGAAACTTGGATGAAATGTGCGCTAGTAAAACATGAAATAGCTTTACATTCCAGATCTCCATAAATTCCTCTAAAATGAGTACCCTGATTAGCTGTCACCGCTTTAGATAATAAGTAACATACCCAGAAACAGGAATAATACGAACGGGGTCACGGCTTGAAACATTATTATTAATTACATCAATCTTAAAACCCATTACACTATTCATGAAGATCTTTAAAGATAAAATTCTTTTTATGAAACATGAAGCTGTGAATGTAAATGGAATATCAAAGTTTTTATATATATTATTCCACAGACTCATACCTCTCCAAATATAACGTCGCTGGAGATGTGACGAGCTCGCCATGTGTGTGTGTGTGTGTGTGTGGGTTGGGGGGGGGGGCGAAGGGGGTCCGGGTTCTGCTCTTGCTAGGTGTCCGCTTCGTCGACGGTGCCGTTCGAGTGGCGCCAGGTGAGGGGCGTTCGGGTGCTGAGCCTTGTACAGGACCGCGAGGCTTGAGTGCAGTGTGGACGCACCTTGGGGATGAATTGAATATAGTGAATAAACAGATAAATATATAAATGAAAAGGACACATAGCATGCACTGTAGCTACAAAGAAACTACAGAAGCGAATAAAGTGATTATTTTTTTTATTATTGTATCTCTTCGACGTTCAAGATCATCAGTGTGTATGTTATCATGGGTTATTCTAGTGCGAGTTTTCTCTTAAATTCTGTTTGTCGGACCGGGGTGCCTCGGGGCTGCTTCGGTCGGCGCTAATCAGGAGTATTCCAGGGCTGAAAGTACTTGTAATTCATAACGTTGTAGGGCGCATCCTGGAGAACGAAGGCGGAGAAGTCTTCTTAGTGCGGTCTGCCTCTCTGGGGTTTTCCGAACAAGGCTCTCGATGTTTTGGCCAAAATTCAGTTTATAGTAGAACGTCTCTCTCTCTCTCTCTCTCTCTCTCTCTCTCTCTCTCTCTCTCTCTCTCTCTCTCTTCTATCTCTCTCTCTCTCTCTCTCTCTCTCTCTCTCTCTCTCTCTCTCTCTCTCTCTCTCTCTCTCTCTCTCTCTCTCTCTCTCTCTCTCTCTCTCTCTCTCTCTCTCTCTCTCTCTTCTCTCTCCTCTCTCTCTCTCTCTCTCTCTCTCTCTCTCTCTCTCTCTCTCTCTCTCTCTCTCTCTCTCTCTCTCTCTCTCTCTCTCACACACACACACACACACACACACTCTCTCTCGTTCTCTCTCTCTCTCTTCTTTTCTATCTATCTATGTATGTATCTATCTATCTATCTATCTCTCTATATACTTACACAATATCTATGTCGTGTAATATCCCGCATTTCCGAACTCGTGAATACTGAGGCATGAGTCGCATTACTCTCTTCCTGTTGCAAAATCCTTATACCTGTAATGAGGTTACGACTGGCACTCTGTCCTCGTCCGCTTCTTCCTATTTTGCCCTTTTCTTCTTTTATTCCTACTTCTTTTTTCCCTTTTTACTTTTTTCATGTGTGGCCTTTTTTGGTCTGTCCCTCTTACGCCCTTTTGCTCCCTCCTTCTATTTTTTCCCTCCATATGTTCGTTAGTAGTGCCTGATTTCTGCTCTCCATCTCTTCATTTCTCTCTCTCTCTCTCTCTCTCTCTCTCTCTCTCTCTCTCTCTCTCTCTCTCTCTCTCTCTCTCTCTCTCTCTCTCTCTCTCTCTCTCTCTCTCTCTCTCCCTCTCCCTTTCTAATTCTCTCTCTCTCTCTCTCTCTCTCTCCCTATAAATTTCTAATTCTCTCTCTCTCTCCTTTCGTCCTTGTCTATATGCTTGTTCTTAAACTGGTTAGAACTTCCCAGTACTGGATTCCGAGGCCGGTCTGAACAAGCACAGACCGGTATGCCATGGAAGAACGAGGTGCATAAAGACAAAGAAAAAGAAGAAGAAGAAGAAGAAGAAGAGAAAATGGTTGGCGACCGGTTGCGTTAGATGCTGACGTTGGGCTTCCGAATGTCTATCAATATCTGTCTGTCTATCTATCGGTTTGACTCTCGGTCTCTCTTTCGCCTTCTCTCTCTCTCTCTCTTTTCTCCCATCCCCCTCTCCCATCCTCCCTGCCTCCAACTCCCATCCTCTCTGTCTCTCTCTCTTTTTCTCTCTCCAGTCCATCTTTCCCTCTTTCCCTCCATTCCCTTTCATTCTCTCTCCTCCCTCTCTTTTTCCTCTTCTCTCCCCCTGACTGCATACTTTTCCATACTCGCTCTTGAACCGGATAGAACTACCTGGCTCTCGATTCCTAAACCGCACCGAACAAGTACAGACCAGAACTTCACGGTAAAGCGAGTTGCACAAAAAAATTCTTGCATGGTAGGGTACAACTGATGGACGAGTTTTAGGTTTCCATATGTCTGTTTGTTTGACTGGCTACGGCTACCTTCCGAATGGTCCTTTAATCATTGTGTGTTTTCCTGTCTGTCTGTCGCTATGTCTGATTAAATACCTTTTCATATTTGCCCTCATGGATGGATTATGAATTATGACGTCCCATCATAATCATTTAATTAATGCTATATCTGGTAGAACTGCAGCTATTGAAACAAAAGCATCAAATTGTCCACAAAACCCCTGCTTGTTTGTTGAAGTCTTGGAACCTTTGCTTTCAACTGCAAGCAATCCTGAATGGCATATTGCGACAGACCTTAGCTCGTTGACAGCGAATCCTCGGGACAAATTTCTTTCGGAGATTAGAAGGCAATTTTTAGAAGGAAATTTGATTTTCTTCGCCACCGGCCAGTATCATGTTTTTTCTCTTCTTTGTTATTTTGCACTCAGGTCACTTTTATTCATATCCCTTATACATTTGTTTTTTATTTGTTATATATTTTTAGCTGTTGACCTTTTCGGCTATTCCTCTGTACCTTTATTTTCTTGATTTCGTCTCTCATTTTTTATTATCATTCTTATTTCCAAAACATTTTACGAACGAAACATATGTTTTTGAGCATAATGCCAAACTCAAAGTCATCAAAATCATCTTAATCATCACAATCATTAACAACATTACATCCCTTGCAATTGCAATGAAAATACATCTCCCCTCGAGGAACCAGTCTTCTCCCAGTAGCATCTTCATCTCTCATTGTCAACGTCTTAAGATCACGTGGTCTTGCACATGATGCCGCTTGCAGATATAATGATTGGTCATGATGTGATTCACACACACACACACACACACACACACACACACACACACACACACACACACACACACACACACACACACACACTCACACTCACACTCACACATATACATATATATACATATATATATATATATATATATATATATATATATATATATATATATAATATATATATATATATCTGAGTGTGTTTGTGTGTGTGCTCAACGGTGACTATAGACACGTAAAACCAGTCGCTGGATTTTTCCTACAGCTGATATGCTGCGCTTTCCCCAGCCCCTTCGCTCCGCCCCTTTCCCGGGAATCTGCAATCTACCCTTTTATCTTCTTCCTTTTTCTTCACTATCATATTCTTCTATGCATTCCTGAAATTAAGAAATCTGAGTTAAGATGATATGTAAGCTTAAGGTATATCTAAGATACAAGCACAAGCAAAACCATTTTGGCACTATTACTGGTTCTGTAAAATATTTATCTATATTGTTATATGGCTTTACTGTTAAATATTATATTTCACGTGCTTTACAACCGTTGTTTGTTCATGAATCACTGTCACACATCGGTCTGAATTTGACTCCACCCCCAAGGCTAAACTCCGCCCCCCCCCCCGATTCCTGTCGTAAAAAAAGTTTCGTTCGGCGGAAAAGACGGCTAATGTCTAATACAATAAAAATGAACGTAATATCACCAGCCGACCTATGTACAAAGATTAGAATTAAACAACAAACAGAGCATCGATTCTAATCTTCATGAACAGTCCAT